AAAGAAAAATAGTTTGGACAACTGTTATACAATTTTTAGCAATAGTAATTAGCTGTTTATAAAAAGGAATTAATATTCGAAATATCCTAAGTTCCACTGCCCTTCAATTGTTTAGCCTCTAAGATTTATTATGTAGTAAATATTTTTAAAAACAGTGAGAGATGTACATCTTCCGAAAATGAGCTGCAAATTGAACACAAAGCACCATGAAATTTACTTGCTGACTCTCCTTCCTCGCCCAGCATAGCCGCTGGTTTCTCCTCCCAGATATCGTGTTGTGGTGGGACGGCGATGTCGTCGTCAGATTCTGACTGTGGAGGAACAACAACCTCTTCAATATGGTAAATGCCCTAAATAGCCATGCATAGAGTCAGGGGTAATAACATTACATAAAATTTAGCAACTTCTCTTTTGTTTCTTTTTTTAGTAAACCAAAGTTGCTAATATTTACTATGCTGTGAAAAAAAATGATGTTTGCCCTGCAAGCATCATTTTCCTCCTGCTATTTCAAAAAACAACACTCGCCCACTTTGTCAGCCTTGAATGTATAGGAATAAAAGACGGATATTTATCTTTAAGCGACCAAAGCTGATTGAGGATAAGAGTTGATGCATTGCGCGATATTAATGAAGAACTGTTTACGCAGAAACTACATCTTCAAGCGCAAGGCTGCTCACTTGATATAAAATTCCTCAAGCGCAAAAGCGAACTTGGTTCATACCTGATCCTCCTCTAGTGCACGAATTTGACTGCGTTCATCTTGAGAGGAATCGTCACTGATGTTATCGACAGGTGTAGCGCCAGCAGCGGACCCCTTCATCTCACAGGGTCATAGCAACGAGTAGCGACTTCCGTTTCATTGTTGCTACGACAACGTTGCACGCAGCGGGGAGATTGGCTTGGCATTAGATGTTTAATTTCTAATGGAAACTATTGTAGGCTACGCTTGTCACGAACTCTGCTCTGCTCGAAGACTTTGAGAAAGCCATACGTTCCCCTTATAACAAATTCGGGTATTTGAGTATTTCGCTCATTGGTGCAGAGATGACGTCCATGCTTCGAGTCCCCTTTCTTTAATCGACCACAATTCTCGCGATCGAATGGGACAAAGTCAGGCATTGTAAGATGTCGAAGACCATATCAGACTGTGGAGTTGGTGAATCAGGAATCTTGAA